AGTGGCGGTTTACCGAGCGGCGGTGATGCCTACCAAGGCCCTGTTTGAGGAGGCAATTGAGCCAGTCAAGAAGAACTTCCCGGCCAACTACAACTTCCTCATGAAAAGCGACCTTGAGAAATGGACACACCATGCCACCCCCGGCAACCTGGTCAACCTAAAGATGTCCACCTCCAACTCTACGGAGTCCACCATTTCCGCGGTCGGCCACCAGGTTGGTGAACGAACGGGGTGGATATGTTTAAAAGCCTTTTGCAGGTCCGATTGACGCACTATACCCTTCAAGAGGAGCATTTCTCGCTGGATCTCATAGATGGTGCGTCAGGATGTCCTCTCACTAAGCGTCAAGCGGCAGATGGCGGTTCCTGTGGGCGTACACAGGAGCCAGCGTTTTGTGAAGCCCCCGACAGCCGACCACTGTAGTTCCGAGTGTTCTCTGTTGACATTCCCATCGCTTCTTCTCATTTATGCATGTTATCTTGTGTCGTGAATGTTGGTGATAATCGAAGTAGGTGCTTTTATTTTTCAGTGGGTCGATCCAACATGAAATAATTCAAGATGAAGCGACTATGTACCATCCCTCCCTACTATACATCCGCATAGNTTTCTTCAATGGGTCGATCCAACGTGAAAGAACCCAAGATGAAGCGACTATGTACCATCCCTCACTACTATACATCCGCATAAAAAATACTTGGTGGATGGGTGCATTTCTGTTTCCCATCCGGAGAGTATCGTAGCCCCTCCCTTGTCACCCGTTGGTCAGCGTGTCAGCAGGGTCCATGCTAAACGTGAGGACACATGTACATTCTCACCCAATTTTATTATTGTTAGGAATCCTGCAGTCCCGATTCCACTTGTCCGTGTGTTGTGATTTCCCNATTCTCACCCAATTTTATTATTGTTAGGAATCCTGCAGTCCCGATTCTTCAACGGCCACTTGTCCGTGTGTTGTGATTTCCTTCTCTACGCACCAGTGTGTGCGGCAAAAGCTTTTTATGGTGTTCCTTTTTAACTCGTCAGCGTCTGAATCGTTGATGTGTCCCTTTTCCGTTGTTGACGTTTGTTGCTCGCAGAAACGGGAAATGGACCCTTATCATTTCCACATCGAGATTGAGGAGAAAACTGCGGAGCAACTCCCAACGAATGCCGAACTACTGAAGGACTGCCATGCCATCCTCGTTCCATTCGCTGCCAAGTTCATGGAGAACGAGAGGTTGCTCAGTCTTAAGTAAGTACCGGGGCAACCACGCCTAGTGCCTTCCTTGTTCTTTCCTCCGTTAATTCTACGGCTGCGTGGTCGGTTGGGTGTAGTACGACCCCGTCGGTTGGGTGATCCACCCGTGCTGTCTCTCTCTTTTTGAGTCCATGATTTATTCGTCCGTTTGGGCTGTCGTTTTGTGTGTAGTGCACTCTTGACAACCAGAGAATGACACCTGCTCTTTCGTCGACGGCACACACTCTGTTTTCGTCTGCTTTCATCCCTTCCTTCTTTGGTTCATGGCGTTGGCCCCACTCGTCGGCAGCAGCACGTCAAGAGCATGGGCGTGGGCACCTACCTTGTTCAGGAGCACGGCAAGAGCCAGTACGGCAACAGGGTGACAATCGTGCTTCCGCACACGGAAGGGAAGGGTGGCCGCGTCGAGTGCACCTGCAGAGTCCCTACCAGGTTCCACCTCCTGTGCCAGGACGCCCTCGCGGTGTTGAAATGTAAGCCTCCTCCATCGGGTTGAAAACATGGATCGCAACTAATAATTGGGTTATTCAATCTTCGGCTTGGCGTCCTCTGTTGACCGTCTGTGATCCGTGTGCATTCTGTATGTTTTATTCTCGCAGCTCACGTGCAATGTGCGACCTCATGCAATCTACATTGCAGATCCTCGTATTTCGTCTCTGGGTTTTCCTCTGGTCATCTGTCGCTCGAAGTTGTTCTTTCTTGGCCCTTCTTTCTTTTGCCTATGGCACAAGCTCACCGTTGGCTGTGAACGAGGTTCTCGTAGAATGAAGTGGGATTCCGTCTGCCTGTGCATGCCATTTTTATCACCAAGCTATTCAGCACCCACCCCCTCTCGATGGATTTCCATGAAGGTAGGCAGAGGTTGATGAGCGTGTTACCACTGCTTGGGAGGAGTGTGAGCTCTTGGACAAACATCCCTCGTTGGTATTGTTCAATGATGCTTTGCTAGAAGCACGGGATTCATGCCTTGCCGAAAACACGCCGCTACGTCGGATGCTAACTAAGGTGAGCTCGGATAAGACAAAAAACGAAGATGGATGAAAACAGCCCTGGTTTTCACACAACTTATCGAACACATTTTGTGG